TCTATCCATTATCCATGCTAGTGGCTTTATCTATCCATTATCCATGCTAGTGGCTTTATCTATCCATTATCCATGCTAGTGGCTTCATCTATCCATTATCCATGCTAGTGGCTTTATCTATCCATTATCCATGCTAGTGGCTTTATCTATCCATTATCCATGCTAGTGGCTTTATCTATCCATTATCCATGCTAGTGGCTTTATCCATTATCCATGCTAGTGGCTTTATCTATCCATTATCCATGCTAGTGGCTTCATCTATCCATTATCCATGCTAGTGGCTTTATCTATCCATTATCCATGCTAGTGACTTCATCTATCCATTATCCATGCTAGTGGCTTCATCTATCCATTATCCATGCTAGTGGCTTTATCTATCCATTATCCATGCTAGTGGTTTTATCTATCCATTATCCACGCTAGTGGCTTTATCTATCCATTTTCCATGCTAGTGGCTTTATCTATCCATTATCCATGCTAGTGGCTTTATCTATTCATTATCCATGCTAGTGGCTTTATCTATCCATTATCCATGCTAGTGGCTTTATCTATCCATTATCCATGGTAGTGGCTTTATCTATCCATTATCCATGCTAGTCTCTTTATCTATCCATTATCCATGCTAGTGGCTTTATCTATCCATTATCCATGCTAGTGGCTTTATCTATCCATTATCCATGCTAGTGGCTTTATCTATCCATTATCCATGCTTGTGGCTTTATCTATCCATTATCCATGCTAGTGGCTTTATCTATCCATTATCCATGCTAGTGGCTTTATCTATCCATTATCCATGCTAGTGGCTTTATCTATCCATTATCCACGCTAGTGGCTTTATTTATCCATTATCCATGCTAGTGGCTTTATCTATCCATTATCCATGCTAGTGGCTTTTATTCTATTCATTATCCATGCTAGTGGCTTTATCTATCCATTATCCATGCTAGTGGCTTTATCTATCCATTATCCATGGTAGTGGCTTTATCTATCCATTATCCATGCTAGTGGCTTTATCTATCCATTATCCATGCTAGTGGCTTTATCTATCCATTATCCACGCTAGTGGCTTTATCTATCCATTATCCATGCTAGTGGCTTTATCTATCCATTATCCATGCTAGTGGCTTTATCTATTCATTATCCATGCTAGTGGCTTTATCTATCCATTATCCATGCTAGTGGCTTTATCTATCCATTATCCATGCTAGTGGCTTTATCTATCCATTATCCATGCTAGTGGCTTTATCTATCCATTATCCATGCTAGTGGCTTTATCTACCCATTATCCATGCTAGTGGCTTTATCTATCCATTATCCATGGTAGTGGCTTCATCTATCCATTATCCATGCTAGTGGCTTTATCTATCCATTATCCATGCTAGTGGCTTTATCTATCCATTATCCATGCTAGTGGCTTTATCTATCCATTATCCACGCTAGTGGCTTTATTTATCCATTATCCATGCTAGTGGCTTTATCTATCCATTATCCATGCTAGTGGCTTTATCTATCCATTATCCATGCTAGTGGCTTTATCTATCCATTATCCATGCTAGTGGCTTTATCTATCCATTATCCATGCTAGTGCTTCATCTATCCATTATCCATGCTAGTGGCTTTATCTATCCATTATCCATGCTAGTGGCTTCATCTATCCATTATCCATGCTAGTGGCTTTATCTATCCATTATCCATGCTAGTGGCTTCATCTATCCATTATCCATGCTAGTGGCTTTATCTATCCATTATCCATGCTAGTGGCTTCATCTATCCATTATCCATGCTAGTGGCTTCATCTATCCATTATCCATGCTAGTGGCTTCATCTATCCATTATCCATGCTAGTGGCTTTATCTATCCATTATCCATGCTAGTGGCTTCATCTATCCATTATCCATGCTAGTGGCTTCATCTATCCATTATCCATGCTAGTGGCTTCATCTATCCATTATCCATGCTAGTGGCTTCATCTATCCATTATCCATGCTAGTGGCTTTATCTATCCATTATCCATGCTAGTGGCTTCATCTATCCATTATCCATGCTAGTGGCTTTATCTATCCATTATCCATGCTAGTGGCTTCATCTATCCATTATCCATGCTAGTGGCTTTATCTATCCATTATCCATGCTAGTGGCTTTATCTATCCATTATCCATGCTAGTGGCTTCATCTATCCATTATCCATGCTAGTGGCTTCATCTATCCATTATCCATGCTAGTGGCTTCATCTATCCATTATCCATGCTAGTGGCTTCATCTATCCATTATCCATGCTAGTGGCTTTATCTATCCATTATCCATGCTAGTGGCTTCATCTATCCATTATCCATGCTAGTGGCTTTATCTATCCATTATCCATGCTAGTGGCTTCATCTATCCATTATCCATGCTAGTGGCTTTATCTATCCATTATCCATGCTAGTGGCTTTATCTATCCATTATCCATGCTAGTGGCTTCATCTATCCATTATCCATGCTAGTGGCTTCATCTATCCATTATCCATGCTAGTGGCTTCATCTATCCATTATCCATGCTAGTGGCTTTATCTATCCATTATCCATGCTAGTGGCTTTATCTATCCATTATCCATGCTAGTGGCTTCATCTATCCATTATCCATGCTAGTGGCTTTATCTATCCATTATCCATGCTAGTGGCTTTATCTATCCATTATCCATGCTAGTGGCTTTATCTATCCATTATCCATGCTAGTGGCTTCATCTATCCATTATCCATGCTAGTGGCTTCATCTATCCATTATCCATGCTAGTGGCTTCATCTATCCATTATCCATGCTAGTGGCTTTCTTTGTGATCAACAATATATTTTTTACGTGTAAACTGCATTTTGTTCACTACACAAAGAAATAAAATTTTGTTTTGTTTTGAATAACAGGACTGATGAAGTGATGAGATCATGTCTAGGCTGAGGGACTGATGAAGTGATGAGATCATGTCTAGGCTGAGGGACTGATGAAGTGATGAGATCATGTCTAGGCTGAGGGACTGATGAAGTGATGAGATCATGTCTAGGCTGAGGGACTGATCACCTCAAACTTCCTCTTCACAACTCTCTGTATTGGACTGATAGAGCTTCTGTTTGACGAAACTTTTCCACAGTAAATATTCCAGTGCTTTACAAGTGTCTCTTTCTTCTACCTATTGATCTTATCTATCTATTTCCGCATCTATCAACGGGTCTATTTACCTAATGGCCAACCTATCGTCTTTTCTATTTACCTGTCTATCTACCTACTGATTTATTTACCCATCAATCCTGACATCTATCAGTCTACCTTACACTCGTTGATGAATAAGATACATGGGCAAAAGTTGGGTATCTGCATTGTTGGAGCGTTTCGCCTACACAGTAGGCTTCTTCAGTCAAATACAGAGGCAGCAGGTATAGTAGTTAAATGAAGATGATGTAATCAGTCCATCAACCTTGGTGAAGTAGTATATAAGGTAGTAAGTCCCTCAGCCTGGAGAAGAGTTCAACTCCATGGTCTGGAACGATATGAAGCTGAAGCGTCTTAAATACTGTCGAAGGTGAGGTGGAAAGTCTCAAGGATGTTGCAGGGGACGGGATTCACTAGTAGAAGTAAGAAGGCAGGTCCCTCTGGAATCTAACCCTTCTCACTCACAACTAGTAGTTCCGCGATGAAGCGTGGAAGACGTCCTCTGTACCAAGATACCATTGTGTTGCAGTGTCTGACATCTATGTTGACATAACATCCAAGACTGGTGGACTGATTACATTATCTTCATTTCACTACTTCACCTGCTGCCTCTGTATTTTATACCACTGTCAACATACCTTACACTCGCCTGCGATATTACGCAGCGTAGTTGAGGCCAGGACACCACTGTAAGGGATTCGCATATTTTCTATTAATTTAAGTCAACAAACGTTCTAGCCTCAGCAAAAAAAAAAAAAAAAGGACTTACGTTCTGCTAGCGTCAGGAAGAACGGCTTACGTTACGAACAATATTTCTTGCTCGTTTTATTATTTTGTTTGTAGGTAGTTTGTCTTTTAAAACAAGGGTGCCTTGATGTTGGTGAAGGGCTCTTTGTACAAGGAACTAAAGCTGTTCTCCCCTTCCACGGGTCAAACCTGATTGCCTCCCGTTCCCCAGACGCTGAATTGATCGTAAAACTAATAATGTTTGTAATAATAATAATAATAATAATAATAATAATAATAATAATAATAATATATTTGAATTATCCAAAATTTCACTCTACATCTCTCTCTCTCTCTCTCTCTCTCTCTCTCTCTCTATCTCATGTACTTTCCACCTTTTCTTCTTTCCTTCTCCCTTCTTCATGTTTGCATCTGTGTCCGGTCCATTATCATCTCTATCTTCCTCTTCCTCTCTTCCATTTTGTTAATGACCTCCTTTCACCGTCTCCCTCCTTCCTTCTCGTACACCCTGTGCATCACCCTCTCTCTCCCTCTCTCTCTTTCTTCCTCATTTCCTCTTCCTCAAACTTTAATCATCTTCTCTTGGTTCTTTTTCTCGCATCTTTCTCATCCTCTTCCTCATCCTTTTCTCTTTCACTCATCTTCTTCATTGTCCCTCCTCGCTTTCTTCCTAGTTCTTCCCACGTTCTCTCATCCTCCCTTGTTCTCCTCCTCATCCTTCCCTCCTTCTCTTCCTCACATCTTTCTCATTCTCCCCTGATTCTTTTTTTTTACCTAACTTTCCCCTCGTTCATTCTGTAATTCCCTCTCCTTCAGGTGTTCTATTACTCTTTCAAGCCTTCGACTATAAAAGACACCACTGGTGTAACCTGGCTTCCCTCACCCCTCTCCTTTCAGCACCTCTTCCCTCACCTCTCACCCCTCTCCTCTCACCCCTCTCCCCTCACCTCTCACCTGTTATCTGTCTCTCTTCATGAATCTTTGATGATGTCCTCCCAAAAATCGCTGCCGAACTGCAAGGTGATGCGAGTAATAGGTACCAGGCAACTATAAGACACAGGTACCAGGAAACCATGAGACACAGGTGCCAGGAAGTCATAAGACACAGGTACCAGGAAGCCATGAAACACAGGTACCGGGAAGCCAAGAGACACAGGTACGTGGAAGTCATAAGACACAGGTGCCAGGAAGCCCTGAGACGTAGGTACCAGGAAGCCCTGAGACACAGGTACCAGGAAGCCCTGAGACACAGGTACCAGGAAGCCATCGACTCGAAACGACCCAGAGAGACAGAAAGAGTTTCTTTCCTCGTCACTAATAGTGAACAAATGCAACCAATAACTACGAGACGTAATTGAAACCAACTTCATCCATAGGTTCAGAAGTTTATTATTATTATTATTATTATTATTATTATTATTATTATTATTATTATTATTATTATTATTAGAAATAAACAGAAAATTACTTCAGAGTCCATTCCGAAAACTCTTTTCATAAGCTAGTTTGCCTTTGCGGCTCTGCAATAGGAGGCAAAGGAACCTCTCTCTCTCTCCTCTTACTCCTTTCTCTCTCTCTCTCTCTCTCTTCAGAAGAAGGACTCGAAGATGGCGGTGAGGAAGACTACGACTGTGGGCTAAGTGCCCACAGTCGACTGTGTGCCAAGTGATGCCATTCACAGTGCGGGTTTGAAGATTTAGAGTGCGGGCACGCAAGACCCGGACTGCCTTCGCTAGACCCTGAGAGTTCCTTCAGCAACTTTACCTCGTCTTTAGGATTTTCCCAAGATGCCCAGGATTTTTTGGAAAAATTTTGCATTTAAGATGGATAAATATGAAGAACTTGCACATCGTAGGAGTAATGATGAACTAACGCATAACGATGATATGATGAACTTAGACATCACAATGATAATGATGAAGCTAATCATCACAATGGTAATGATGAACTTAATCATCACAATGATAATGATGAACTTCAGTGAGAACAATCACGGATGATTCATCAACATTTTGGATTGTTATTCTTACTTTCGTGGGGACGCCCTACGACCCGCAGGGGCCTCCGAGAGCACCTTGGAGATGGGAGGTATTAGGGTTGATCTAAGGAAGGAGATGGTAGCTCCAATTCCTCGGATCAAGGAAATCTCCCCTACTTCTCAGAGTTTTTTTTTTCTTTTTCTTTTTTAACTGTTTCAGTGGGATTTTCCTGTCAGATTTCTTGAAGAACGTTGTAGGGTAAAAGGAGACATGTGCAAATAATGTGGAATTTTACTGTTTGAAAGTTTCGCTCTCCAGGAGCTTCGTCAAGGTCATACTGTCGGTAATTCTGCTGATATTATTACAGTTTCTCGAAGAGCGTTGTTACCTGTACCAATCCCCGAGACTTCGTAAACCTGAGAGTCATAAAATATTCTCCAGCTGGTTTCGCGCACACTGAAATTCCTTGACAAAGATTACCCTGAAGATCCACGATTGCACGAAGTCTCCTGGCGTTTCCCCAAAATCTCCAGCATCAGGTTTTAAATGTAAAAAAAAAAATATTCTTCAGAAAGTGAGCTGAGTTGTGGAGGTGGACCATAAGTTTTAATGTTGGTTGTGCGAAGGAAAATCTAAACTTCAGCGAAAGGCTTGCTCATCCCTCCCGATGAGAGAGAGTTGAGGAAAGTTGAGTATACCGTAGCTCGATTGCTAGCGATCTCAGCTCACATACTGAGGTCCGGGGTCGATCCCCGGTACGGCTGAAAAACATTACGACGTGTTTCCATAGGACATCTGATTTCTAATGCTCACTCATCAGTAAAATAGGTACCTGGGTGTTAGTCGGCTGGTGTGGGTCGCATCCTGGGGACAAAATTGACCTAATTTGCCCGAAATGTTCTGCATAACAAGGGACTTTCTGTATAGTAGTATGTTATTGATGTCAACTAGGCCTGTATACCTTGTACATGTACTTGTAGAAATAAAGATTATTATTATTATTATTATTATTATTATTATTATTATTATTATTATTATTATTATTATTATTATTATTATTATTATTATTATACTGAGCTCAGGTGGTGGGCTGGGAGGTAAACATGGCCTCAGATAATGTTTACCACCATATTCTCCAATACATTTGTCCAACACTGGCCCACGCTTCTTACTCGACAATGCAGATCTGCGCTTCCATATTTATGGCACTGTTTTGCAGCATTATTTTTCAACAGAGCATACATCTGCAATTCGTAAATGTACGTTTTAAAGTTCCTGTTTATTGCAGTTTTAAATTGTCTATCTTATATTTTATCTCCGTTAACAAACTATTATTTTTTTGGGTCCTCTTTCATTTTATGGTAGAAAAAGACAACGTACAGAGATAATCTATAATTTCAGGCTGCATTTTGTTCGAAATATTTATATGCCATGTTCCTCGTATAGATTTGGTGAAACTGTTTAGAGCGAAACGTCGTCTATAAATCTATGGTTCTGCTTATAATACCTTTTTTACCATATGTATCGGCAAGTTTTTGCCTCTAAAACATTTTTTTTTTTATATTTAAATAACCCACACATAGAAGGAAACTAATGACAACATATCGGGCCAAAATGGAGCGAAGAATATCCTGTAATCTGAACAAGGAGGCATTAAACATACTTGTACAAGATCAGCATTGGAGTATCCAGCTCCCTTATGGAGCCCCCTCATCTCGTCAAGCATAAGAGAAAACTTGATTCCCTCCTCCGTTCTTTCCCTTCCCAGGCCAATCCAGGCGAACACTAAGTTGAAATGAAGGGAAGACGAGAATTCATAACATGCTAAGTGTTCCTTCTTCCTTCCTCTTCCCCTCCCACCTTCCATTCCCCCACCCACTCCTGATTTTCACGCTCTGGAAACTTTGGGAAGGGACGTTGGGGAGGGGAGGTTTAGGAAATGAGCAAGGAATGAGAATTAATGTTTGCAGAACGTGAAAGATTGATAAACGAGGAAGGAGAGAGAGAGAGAGAGAGGGAGGGAGACTACTTTTATCTAAGGCTTACACAGCATGATTGTTGAGATAATAATATGGTAAATGGAGCGGATACATAAAAAACTGACTGCGCAAGTACCAAATATCTTGCCCTAAAATATAAAAAAAAATCCTAACCTTATTTTTTGTGTACATGCGAAATAAGTAAATAAATAACCGAATTAAACAAGAAAATGTTGAAAACTCAGACTAATGAATTATGTAGAGGTAGATAAGGTAGAGTTATCGTTGAAAGTATTAAGAGTAAGACAGAGAGCAGGATCGCAGATGAACAAGGAGGTTTTAGAAGTGTAGGGAGTTTGTAGATCAAGTGTTTTACAACGAAGTCTTTCATTTGGGTTATAAAATCAACAGAATCATGCAGTTTAGATCCAATTATTCATGGTAAATATTTCTGACTAAATATCTCACTAAACAATGAGTTTGTTATATTATCATAACACAACCCGTCCTTTACGTTTGTTTACATGCGTGTGAAAATACATGAACGAAGTTTTAGTACTTTCTCCGTCCTGCCAAACGTAAGCCGCCCATCTTTTATGATTTCGTTATTGTTGGGTAATACGGAATTATAGGTTCCTTTAAGTTAGCCCAAGGAAATCTGATCTAATTTAGTAAATAACAAATGTAAAGGCTCTTGATTGAAGCTTCATTCATACATAATCATACGCACGGCAAATTGTGTGAAAGATTGCAGAAATTGGAGAAGAGGTTGCATAACAGGAAAATGAGAGGCGACTTACCGCTAGGCAGACGAGTATATTGCCGATGCCTCCTGCCAGGATAAACATAGCTAGGAAGAGGAAGGAGAAGTCATATTCGTATCCTTCGTCATCGCTTCCCGTCGTGGCGTTGAGGACGAAGTCGTCCCCAGTGAGGTTGAGAGGCAGGGGGGGTTCGAACTGTAGGAGGTCGGGGATCCTACACTGCACTATATGAAGCAGTGGCGGCGGCGTGGTGGTGGAAGGAGGTAAGGATGGTACGGGTAGTATGGGAAGTGAGGTGTTGGACGAGGGGTGTGTGGGCGATGAGGCAGGTGAGGGACTGATTGTCAAGTGATCACAAAGAGCAGATGAACACGACCCGAACGAGCACAGGAGTTCGCTTCCGTAAGACAGGAAAGAGGTAAAATAATTCTCACTAGTGTTAAATTTCAGCGTCCAGTAGCTGGTGGAATTATCTCGCAAGCAAGACAAGCAAGTCTGAGTTCTTGTGTCCACCAACAGACCTGGGTTGATGGAGGTATTCGTGAACATATGTCTTGGCAGTATCTTGCCTCTCATGCAGTCTCTCATGCTCGCCACCCAACAAGACACATTAGGAGTTAGCACTTCGAGCACGTTACTACACTGGAATGTTAGATCGCTACTCACTACATCTGTGAGGTTGTCATGGCTAGACCACGCGCATTCCGCTCTCTTACTCCCGGCAGATGACACGTCCCACGGTACGACACTTTCCCCTCCACTGTCAAACATCTGTGACTGTTCATCGTCCATCCACGGCACACTACTGTTGTAGCCGAGGCCCTCACCGTCACCACTCCCAGGCATGGACTGCATGGAGCTGTGCGGAGCCGTCTCATTAGCCTTCATCTTATTTTTAAGCCAGTAGTCCCTAATTAAGACCGCAATGCTCTTCATTGGGAAGTTTTCTATTCATAATCTTCCACAAAACTGCAAACCTGGACCAGGTAGAACAAGCACTGGTCCATAAGGAAGGGTGCGTGAGGAAGCGTGAGCATTCCGGTGTAAGACAAGACCTGCCATCATTGTTGTCCTTTTCTCTCAACACTGAGACTTCCTATTTTCATTTCATTTAAATCATCTCCTGCGGCACCCGGTGCACAAACTGCCCAATTATTGTCTTGCTGAATCATTTTCTGTAACATTTCCTTTCTTATTAAATGTCACATATTCCTTTAAAAATTTATTGGAGAAGAGTGAGAAAGCAAATACAAAATTTTGAACCTTGATAACGTATATAATAATTCATCAGTTATGAGTGTTCCTTCATTTTTCGTTCTCCTTTAATCAACACATCGTAACTTTAGAAAAGGCAGTAGCTAAATTAAGTAGCTTAGAACGAGCGACAATTGCAAAATAATTGTATGAAATGAGTCTTCATATATTGCAAACTATAATAAGCAATTTGCAGAAATAACAGTGAATAACAGAGAATAACACAGTACTCGAATATGTAAGTTTCTAGACAAAAAGTTTCATTATCTTTTAGTGAACTGCCACGGAGAGATCCAGAGAATAAAAATAAGGTTATTGCAATAATGTATCATGTCATTTTTTTTATGAATCACTTCAAGGTAGACATTTTCCAGGTGGTATCATATACTATACTCTGGCCTTCCAGTAGCTAAGACTACAGCTACACATAACATTTTACAGCCCCTCTCATGTACTACACTCCAGCATTACTGGAACTACGCATGGCATTTCCAATCAGGTCTCCAGCACTACACTCGGACCTCACGGGAGATACAGCAATTGCAATCACTCTTCCACTTTCCGGAACTACCAAATGAATCCAATCCAGATACTATCGTCCTTTTCTACACTCGCTTTCACATGTCTGTTTATTTTTTCCTTTCTCTTTAGTCTTCTCATCACGTGCGAGCCCTAACAAGCCTCCCTTTCCATACCCTGCAGAGCTAATTAACCTCCAGGTAGGGGCTGTCGAGGCTGAATCTCACAGCCTGGAATAAGGCTCCCCTAATTTCCAGAGGGCTTTTGTGATCCTCTGGTCTGAATGGTGTCTGATGCAGAGCCTCCGAGTGACCTGGAAAAGATAAGGAAAATGGGTTAGATATTTTACTTTGAAGATTATATTCTGTCTCTCCCTCTCTCTCTCTCGCCTTCTTTCCCTCCCTCATACATACGCGCTCTCTTGCTTTTGCCCACTTACGACTACATTATATATATATATATATATATATATATATATATATATATATATATATATATATATATATATATATATATATATATATATATATATATATAAAGTCACACCGGCCATCTCCCGTCGAGGTAGGGTGACCAGAAAAAAAAAAAAAACTCAGAATCACCAGAAGCACGCTGACATCACAGTTCAGATGTGCGTTTGAACTGTAACATCCTCGCCCCTTCAGAGGGGTGAGGATGTACTTGTCACTCCCCCAAGACTCGAGTCCGGCTAACTGGTTGCCCTGAATCTCTTAGAAAATTTTAGCTTGCTTGCACTCCAATAGCATACAAGGATGCGAACAAGGGTCTGAAATATATACCTAGCAATAATTTCCCTAACCATGCCGTAATTTTTTTTATATGTAATTTGTAAAAGTTCTTGTGGTTAAATAATAAAATAGGTATATATCGCATTTTTCTCGATTTTTTTTAGACGTGTTCTGTGTTCTATATTTGACTGAAGCAGACGTGCATCACTGGGGAAGGTTCACGAACCTGCCACAACAGCCTGAATGACCTTTCTGAGCATAAACCCACCATTTGCATGTTGATTGAAGCGGCAAGACACGACAAAGTCGCTAAGAAAAATAAAGCCGGGGTAAACTCGATGTAGCTTCGCTGAAATTATTCTGAAAACTCAGACGCCCACCACCGACCCCAAAACCACATATCCCCGGACACTGTCCGTGTTGTGTCCGCGATGTTTACATGTGGCGTGGAAACTATACCATTTTTTTCTGTTATTATCTTTACTTTTTTGTTACGGGGTGGACTTGTAAGCCAGCTGTGGGCCTCAGTCAGTTACCAGAACCGTATCTGGTGGGTCAATGCACATAGCAGACCCAACGCATGATCCACGGTTCGAGTCTTCGTAAATTCTTCTATTTGCTTGTTAACAGTCGTTCATTACGACTTACACTGGGTGTATCTAGCTAGTGAATATAACGGTGTACGCAGTAATTGAGAACAAACGATATAAGATGCAAAGCAGCCACGCGATGAGTTGAATGATGCCTCTAGACCTTTCGTGTTGCAATCAAAACTTCACCAAGATCTTGAAGTGTTGCAGAAATGAGTAGGAAATCCAAGTAAATTCGTTTAGGGGAACAGGTCTAGCTCGGAAGAGCTAGACCTGTTCATTGTGTGACTATGACCAGTCATTGTGTGACTATGACCCTGGTCATCGTGTGATTATGACCCTGGTCATCGTATGACTATAGTCCATGGTCATGATATGACTGTGACCCCGAGTCAGGGGAACTAAAACACTACCAGCACTTTCTTCAGCCACAGTTAACAACATAAACATGTCAGCATAGTTGCTAATCCCCTGTATATGTTTGTGTAGCATATCTGAGTATCGTAGTTAGTACCATCTACATATTTTATATAGACGATCCCTTGCTAGGCCTAGTGACTAGCATGTGACGTCACACAGGTAGGCTGGGCCATTCCCCTCACAACTCTGCTAATATCAGTGAATACAACCCAACAAGTGTGTTTATCTCCAACCATCATATCTCCACGGAACCCTCCCAACAAACATACCAGTGAGAAGCTTTAGTCCGGCCATGTGTTATACACATGCTATGCAACTGGGTTATATTTCCCGCTGCTGGAGATATCGGGACGCTGCATTCACGTTATCGGTTCCACAGTTGCTGAAGATATCGTGAACTTTGTCCATTTTTTCGGGTTTTACGGTATTTGAATTTTTGTTGTTGTTGTTAGATCCGTAGAGAGAGAGAAATACAAAACCCGATTCAGTTACATCGGCTGCAGATACGTTATCGAGCAGTTGAAACTTGTATATCAATACCAGATATATCGGATACTTGCACATATAAAAAGTTTATCGGGTAGGAAAATATGCTAATTATATCTGTTTCGGAGATATCGGGAAAAAAATTTGTAGGTTTTCTTGAGTTAGTTTTTCAGATATCTGAGTATCGAGTTCAAGGTATCGGACTCAGATACACCGGATATCTGTGTTTACGTCATCGGACATCAAGATAACGGGTTGAAGAAGCATGTGTGTGTGTATGTGTGTGTGTGTACTCACCTATTTGTGGTTGTAGGGGTCGATTCACAGCTCCTGGCCCCGCCTCTTCGCTGTGTGTGTGTGTGTGTGTGTGTGTGTGTGTGTGTGTGTGTGTGTGTGTGTGTATGTGTGTGTTTTATCTTCACTACCTGGCAATCAGAAGTTATGTATTTAAAGCATATCAAATATACTTCATCTCCCCCATATTTCACCTGTATACATCTGTACATGGCAGGTGTATTTTCGATCATATACACTCATACAAGAATGTATATATGTAATATGTACATTATCAGTCAAGGTTGTGGTTCGTACGTCGGGTTGCGTGTGGCCAACAGTAACAGCCTTGTTGATCAGGCCCTGATCCACCATGAGGCCTGGTCACAGACCGGGCCGCGGGGGCGTTGACCCCCGAAACCCTCTCCAGGTGTACTCCAGATACAGCAATCCTGTCAAAATGGAAATTATTAAGGGCTCTCTGTTTTACACCTGCATGACAGGCGGTTGCTGTCTACCAGTGTACTTGGTGGTTGCTGTCTACCAGTGTACTTGGTGGTTGCTGTCTGCCAGTGTACTTGGTGGTTGCTGTCTACCAGTGTACTTGGTGGTTGCTGTCTACCAGTGTACTTGGTGGTTGCTGTCTACCAGTGTACTTGGTGGTTGCTGTCTACCAGTGTACTTGGTGGTTGCTGTCTACCAGTGTACTTGGTGGTTGCTGTCTACCAGTGTACTTGGTGGTTGCTGTCTGCCATTGTACTTGTTGGTAGCTGTCTACCAGTGTACTTGGTGGTTGCTGTCTACCAGTGTACTTGGTGGTTGCTGTCTACCAGTGTACTTGGTGGTTGCTGTCTGCCATTGTACTTGGTGGTTGCTGTCTACCAGTGTACTTGGTGGTTGCTGTCTACCAGTGTACTTGGTGGTTGCTGTCTACCAGTGTACTTGGTGGTTGCTGTCTGCCATTGTACTTGGTGGTTGCTGTCTACCAGTGTACTTGGTGGTTGCGATCTACCAGTGTACTTGGTGGTTGCTGTCTACCAGTGTACTTGGTGGTTGCTGTCTACCAGTGTACTTGGTGGTTGCTGTCTGCCATTGTACTTGGTGGTTGCTGTCTACCAGTGTACTTGGTGGTTTTCTATCTACCAGTGTACTTGGTGGTTGCTGTCTACCAGTGTACTTGGTGGTTGCTATCTACCAGTGTACTTGGTGGTTGCTATCTACCAGTGTACTTGGTGGTTGCTGTCTACCAGTGTACTTGGTGGTTGCTGTCTACCAGTGTACTTGGTGGTTGCTATCTGCCATTGTACTTGGTGGTTGCTGTCTACCAGTGTACTTGGTGGTTGCTATCTACCAGTGTACTTGGTGGTTGCTGTCTACCAGTGTACTTGGTGGTTGCTGTCTACCAGTGTACTTGGTGGTTGCTGTCTGCCATTGTACTTGGTGGTTGCTGTCTACCAGTGTACTTGGTGGTTGCTATCTACCAGTGTACTTGGTGGTTGCTGTCTACCAGTGTACTTGGTGGTTGCTGTCTACCAGTGTACTTGGTGGTTGCTGTCTACCAGTGTACTTGGTGGTTGCTGTCTACCAGTGTACTTGGTGGTTGCTGTCCACCAGTTACTTGGTGGTTGCTGTCTACCAGTGTAGTTGGTGGTTGCTGTCTACCAGTGTACTTGATGGTTGCTATCTACCAGTGTACTTGGTGGTTGCTGTCTACAATGTACTTGGTGGTTGCTGTCTACCAGTGTACTTGGTGGTTGCTATCTTCCAGTGTACTTGATGATTGCTGTCTATCAGTGCACTTGGTGGTTGCTGTCTACCAGTGTACTTGGTGATTGCTGTCCACCAGTGTACTTGTTGGTTGCTGTCCACCAGTGTACTTGGTGGTTGGTATCTACCAGTGTACTTGGTGGTTGCTATCTACCAGTGTACTTGGTGGTTGCTGTCTACCAGTGTACTTGGTGGTTGCTGTCTACCAATGCACTTGGTGGTTGCTATCTACCAGTGTACTTGGTGGTTGTTGTCTACCAGTGTACTCGGTGGTTGCTATCTACCAGTGTACTTGGTGGTTGCTGTCTACCAATGTATTTGGTGGTTGCTGTCTGCCAATGTACTTGGTGGTTGCTGTCCACCAGTGTACTTGTTGGTTGCTGTCTACCAGTGCACTTGGTGGTTGCTGTCTGCCAGTGTACTTGGTGGGTGCTGTCTACCAGTGTACTTGGTGGTTGGTATCTACCAGTGTACTTGGTGGTTGCTGTCTACCAGTGTACTTGGTGGTTGCTGTCTACCAGTGTACTTGGTGGTTGCTATCTACTAGTGTACTTGGTGGTTGCTGTCTACCAGTGCACTTGGTGGTTGCTGTCTATCAGTGTACTTGGTGGTTGCTGTCTACCAGTGCACTTGGTGGTTGCTGTCTACCAGTGCACTTGGTGGTTGCTGTCTACCAGTGCACTTTGTGGTTGCTATCTACCAGTGTACTTGGTGGTTGCTGTCTACCAGTGCACTTGGTGGTTGCTGTCTACCAGTGCACTTGGTGGTTGCTGTCTACCAGTGCACTTGGTGGTTGCTGTCTACCAGTGTAGTTGGTGGTTGCTGTCCACCAGTGGACTTGTTGGTTGCTGTCTACCAGTGTACTTGGTGGTTGGTATCTACCAGTGTACTTGGTGGTTGCTGTCTACCAGTGTACTTGGTGGTTGCTGTCTACCAGTGTACTTGGTGGTTGCTATCTACTAGTGTACTTGGTGGTTGCTGTCTACCAGTGCACTTTGTGGTTGCTGTCCACCAGTGTACTTGTTGGT